ATTTTAAAATAATAATAAAAATTTCAAAACCCAAGGCCAAAAAAACCCTGAACCCTGGAATAGATTAACCAGTAAAATTTCTAAAAGGGTAAAAAATACCCCACTGAAAAGTGTGCAAATGCAGAAAATAAAGTAATATAATAATAGTAAATAGTAAAAACTAAAGGCCAGATGCGTTTCGACAACAGTCTTCCTCAGTGGCTTGCAAGCATTCTATATATATGTATATATATATATAATGTAATTCCTCAGCTCACACAATGTGACTACTCAATTCAAAAGCAACAATGTTCTTCTCCTGCTCTCAGAGTCTCTTATATAACCAGCTGAACTGGTGATGGGAATGATCCTGCCAAGACTCAAGTAAAAAACCTAGAGAAAACTTAGGGTGTGGAGGGACAATGAAAAACTAAAACCAACCAATTTACACCCCCAGGGATTCAGATTTACCAACTATGTATCCATTTGAGTTCCAATGTTTGTATTTATTTTATGTACTTAGTACCACTCTTCTTCAGGCCATGCTTCTATGACACCTCTTCTAGCTATTGCTTTATTTTCAGGAAATAAGATCTTAGAGAACATGAACAATGGGGAAAATTTGTTCAGACATGCTAAAGGGAATGTTTTTTACTGACACTATAGTTTTCTATAATGCAAGAGGAAAAAATATGAGTTTGCCTGATGGGCTGGCCCAGGAAAATTGACATTATTTGTAACCAAAACAGAAGAGAGACATATTTGAAAAACTCTGATTTGTTGAATCTAGGTAGTGGTGTTGTAAGGTCCTGACAGGGAGAAAGTAACAGAAACAAGACCAGAACTGCTCCAGAAATGAGGATTTATTCAATGTAACAACAACACAGAGCTACCATCTTGCCTGGGACTCAGCTACCATCTCCTGCCACCATCTTTCACTGCCATTTGGCCACGTACAGCAATGATGTTGCTTGTTCTAGCAGTAGTATAGCAGAGACTTTAAAAAGTTACTTTTAGAGTTACAGCTCCCAAAATTAGCAGTGGTTATGTTGGCTAGGGGTTTCTGCTAGCTCCAGCCTAAAAAATTAAATGTCTCGTGCTCCAGTTGTTTCCATATAAGCCATCCCTCTCCACCTCCACCTGTAAGTGAGTGGCAGTTGTAATAGCCTAGGAGGTAAGCAATGGCTGGATTCCCATCAGTCCAGGAGGCTGCCATCTTTTGTCTCTTGCATGCAATTTGTTTATGCCATCTCTTGATGTGCTACTAGGTAAAACATCACAATCTGCATTCCCACTGGAGAGAGGGGCCACCTGAACTTGGCAGCTTCAGGAGTGAAAAGTGATAGAATGTGCCAGAAGCAATTCTGGTGCGATGGCAGTAGGGCATGGTGATCTATACTGAAGACCTGTCTCAATGGTGTGGTGTTCAAGAATCACTCAAGCAAGAGTCCAATCCAGAATTCCCTGACCACTCTGGACTGTTAATATTTCATTTCCCAAAAAAGAAGATATGAGTGGCAAAACTTGGCCACTAACCATTAAGGAAAATTATAGTTTTTTTTTCTGCAAACCCCAGACTCATCTGCAGTAGAGCATCAACTTGATATCTAATTCACAGCAACAGAATTGTATTTTGGTGACCAAATTATAAAATTAATAACTTGAAGCTTCTGAAAATAAGATGAGGGAAAAAGCTGTGTGACAAAGAGATTTTTAACAAGCATAACCAAGCAGAGCTACTGAGGATCATGGTTTATGAGAATCCCCTGAAGGTTCTTCCTTCTGGCACACAAAGACACTCGATGAAGCTTCCAGGAATTAACATCATTCAAGAGTAAACATAATTCCACACTGGTTTAGAAGAATTCATCATAGGAGAGGATTTTCCCACAGAGTTATATATTATTTTTGGAGGAAATGATTCCTTTAAAATACATTTCCGTTCCAAGGGAGTCTCCACTTCAAGCCTATTATGGACTTGCTGTCCTTGCTAAGAAGTGTCTAATGAGAAACTGGCTAGTTTGGAAACTTAGGAAAAAGGTTTCTCTACCAGTCTTCCTTTCACAATGGATCCCTTTTGTAATAATTATCACTGTCTTAGCAATAATGATAACTGATTAAATTTACTTTTGGGTGAGGGTTTTTGCAGGGGAGGGGGGCTTTTTTCCATCAAAGATTCAGGCTTCATTAGCAAATTCTACATAAGTGGAAAATTTAAAACAGAGATTAAAGACAGCATTGTAATTGTGGGCTTTTTGGATGAGTGTCCTGAGAATGCAAACAGAGGCAGCAAACTGTTTGACACCAAGCAATCATAATTATGTTCCACACACACATATCTATCTATCTATCTATCTATCTATCTATCTATCTATCTATCTACTTACAAAACCGAGAGAGAGAGAGAGCGAGAGAGAGAGGATTGATTTAACCATTTTGAAAAGTATGTACTGTAATGCACTCGAGTTACTGTAGGACTACTTAGATCCTCCTTCACCTTTCCTCCTGGCTAATCACCTTGTTTTCTTTTTGTTTGTTTTTTGTTCAGCTTTTTAAGGAGTAGTGCAATGCTGTCTTATGTATTATATCTCAGCCTCAATAGTTTCTCAGTAACTGACTTACAATATAATTTTACTGAAGAAGTGTAGAGCTCAGTATAGGAAAATTGAACCCCCTCCAAACTCAGCACTGATGTTATTTGCTAATCCAGTGCTTTGAGCATTGGACTATGGAGAACAGTGTTCAAATCCCAGCTCAGCCGTGTAAACCCACTGTGTGACCTTGGGCAAGTCACACTCTTTCAGCTTCAGAGGATGGCAATGGCAAACCACCTATGAATAAACTTGCCAAGAAAATCCTGTGACCTCAGGGTCTCCATAAGTTGGAACAAAGGCACACAGCGGCAACAATTAAAGTGATGTTTTCAGTTACTATAATTGTGCTGCACAATTTCATTGGCCTTGTTTGAGGATTAACTACATCCATTTATTTTGGGTATATAGTTGAAACCAATTTGTTCCTCCAGATTCAGGGGAATTACTGGGGGGTGATGACGCAGTAGGTGCAGACCACATGGGGTGACAACTCAGGGGGAAGGGTGAACATCTGGTGGGGTGATCTGAGGAGCAGTGGCAATAAGACAGATACTGCCATCAGGAAGACACTGGCCTATGACCAGTGATAAAATAAGAGCAAACTGCCAGGCTGGTTAGCTTTGGAGAGACAATCCTTCTTGTCAGACAACAAAATATATTGGATTAATGCTATCCTTGCTACTTGTATCATTGCAAAAAACAGTGGCAAGATTTTGGATAAGAAAAACACATGGAACAGTTCCTGTTGTCTCCTTTGATATTTTATTAATTCTCCTTAATTGTGATTGCCTAGATCTGTTTTTATCTATACAAATATGTATATTGCTCAATTCAAATCATTTTGAAAAGCAATAGGTACAAAAAGATTTTTCTCTTTGTCTTGAATCAAAATATCATGGGCTTATACATCTATCATAATTGTTCAAAATTTTCCTTCTAAGTATGCTTTTGGAGTGAAGAATTAGCCAAGGATAATGTTATAATTCCCTTTAGCTGTGATATTTAAAAGGGTGTACCATTAATTTTTAAATATTGTTGTATGTAGGTCCAACACATTCATTATGCTGGACTGTATTATAAACTTGACTGAAGAAAGTTCCATGATACACAGATGCTAGCAAACAGACTATCTTATGACAAAGGACGTTATCACACGGGGCAAATCTACTGGCTAATCCACACAAATCCCAAACAAAAACTGGATTTGTGCCTCATGTTTTCACACAACGTTGCACAGAAACTAGACAGAAAGTGGACAGAAACTGGTGTTATCCGAGATCTTTTGAAATTCGGTTGTTTGGAGGAAATGCAAATGCGAAATTAAGGTAATTTGTAATTTGTAATGTGAAAAGCAAATGCACATTTGGGAACATTTCCCTGCTTTTCCCATGGTTCCAGCGAGCATTCCTCTATCTGCGCATGTGCAAGAAGCTCATTTCTAGTACATTTATGGGCTTTTCTCACTTGTGTGTGAACGTTAAATGCGCTTACTTTAATTTCGCAATTAAGGTAATTACGTGTGAAAGCCATTTGCGGAATCAAGGTTTATTTTCCGTTTATTTTCGGAATGCCTCATTTCCACTTTATTATCGCTTTCTGGCCCACATGTGATAACGTCTTGAGTATGTGAGTTATCGTTTCCAGTATTTAATGCTTGCATATTTGGTGTCATGTTTGAGTATCCACATCAAAATGAAAGGTTTGTAGTTGGCTTGCTATATGAAGTTAAGTAGTCCATTTCATGTTTGCACCCCACCTTTTTCTTCCTTGAGAAGGCCATAACATTTAACAGCAACATACTAAAAAAAGTATCATAACCAGAGTTTGGGGTAATAAGATAATAACATTTTTGACAAAATAACATAAAGACCAGTCATTTAATGTGTGAGAGCCAGCATGGCATAGTGTTTTGAGTGTTAGACTATGACTGTGGAGACCAGGGTTCAATTCCCAGCTCAGCCATGAAGTCCAATGGGTGACCTTGGGCAAGCCACATGCTCTCAGCCTCAGAAGAAGGCAATGGCAAATCTCCTCTGAACAAATCTTACCAAGAAAACCCCATGATGGCCTTAGGGTTGCTATAAGTTGGAAAAAACTTGAAGATACTTAACACACGTGTGTGGTCCAAAACACACTGCAGAAATAATCCAGTTTGAGACTGCTTTAACCTGGCTCAATGCTAGAGAACCCCGAGAATTGTAGTTTATTGTGACACCAGATGTCTCACGAAATTCTCAGAATTCCCTAGCACTGAGCCAGGGAAGTTAAAGCAGTCTTCAATTGGATTTTTCTGCAGTGTATTGTGTGTGTGTGTGTGTGTGTGTGTGTGTGTAATGATTAACATTACTTTCTTCTAAAATGTTGTTTTATGCCAAGAAGCCCAGTTCTCTAAATGACATTACTCAGTACCCTCAAAGGGAACCAAGTGTAGATGATAATGGTAAGATAGAAGTTTGTATGCATAATACAATAGAATCAGATCTGGCTCACTGAGAGTCAGGTACACCATCTTTACTCTCATTTTATTAAGGATCTGATGAAGCCAGACTTAGACTTGGTTCATCCTTCAGATGATACATGGTTTCTGTGTAAGGAATTAGCTAGAGGCGGTTGTTAAGATTAAACTATAACTGAGAAATCATACAAAACAATAGAGGTAAGATGTGCATAGTGTGTACATGTATGCCAAGCCAGGAGGATGAGTCAGAAATCAAAGCTAAGGAGCAAAGCTCAAAACTGGAACACACTGGAATCATGAAGGTGATTGTTCCCAGGAAACTCCCAGCCTAACATGAAGATTTTAAGAGCTTTTCCTGCATGAGGCACCAATAGTTCATGTCAGGGAGGTGAGGGAGGTAAGGCTACTCTGAGATCTTAAGGACACATTGCTACCCAAAAAAATTCCAAAATGCTGTCCTGGTTGAACATCACTGGGGGCAGTGACATACAGAACCAAGCTAGTCACTTGAGGCATATTTATCTCAGGGCCTGATCACAAACAACCTACAGTATCTCATGAACTTACTAGAAGTGATTTCTTTAGGAGTCTTGCACATTTTCATTACTTGCGACACCTTGTGCACCATAGAATCATAGAATCATAGAATCATAGAGTTGGAAGAGACCGC